CAGGAACCTCCTGTAGAACCACATTTCTGCTTCAATTTTTTTCTTCATCTTTGGGGAGATTGTCCAGCATATAGGTGAACAGATGTCACGAAATAGTTCAGTACACTATTTACATTATTCGGACTATTGTCCTCATCTTTGTCGCCATATTTATTACAACGTGCGCTCCGACCTTCTTCAGATGGTTGGAATGTCGAACTGAACACTTTATTTCGTTCACTGGGGTAGACTGTTCTAGTTCCACGTGCCTCAAGGACACATGGCACAGTGGATAAAGGCGTTGGTAAGATCCAGTGACAGGACGCAAAGCGTGTGAGTTCAATACCCGGTTAAGGCAGTGGAGAACTTGGAGGGGAATTGACAGTAGATAACTGACATCCATTAAACATGGCACGTGGAACTAGAATAGTCTACCCCAGTGAGCGAAATAAAGGGTTCAGTTCAACATTCCAACCATCTGAAGAAGGCCAGAGCGTACAACGGCCGAAACATTGTAATAACTATGGCGACAAAGTTGAGGACAATTTAAATTTTCGTACTTGTTTGATTTTGGTATCTCCGATTTATAATTAGTACTTTGGACTCATCCTTTTTTTTAACAATCATCCATTCTATCGTCTTACAATTGATAGATAGTCCTTTCTTCGCACTTTCCTCCACTACCTTCTGTAGGAGTTTTTTGTAGCTATCTTACTGTGTCTACTATTAACACTCTGTCATTTGCATGTATTTTTTAATCGAATTCACTCCAAGCAAAGCCGTAAAGCCACTAAATAAGGAACGGTTACTGGGTGGGAAAGAATTAAGAATAAAATCATTAATAGTGAGCGGAAAAAGAAAAATGTGCTCAGGAGGACATTGGATTGACATTGCGTTTAAATTCTTGCAGATTAAAGTTGGAGGGAAATCATGGAAACCGGAAAGGAGATCGACAAACAGGAAATGCGAGAAGAGAAACAGCATATGCCAGTGTAGTACCACGCTTAATTTTTTTTTTTAAGTCTAGGTACCATAGTAAAGAGCTCGTTCGAACTATTACCATGAAAATATTTATAGAAAAGACATAGATAGGCAACTTTACGGCGGTGGGAAAGTGACTGAAGCCGAGCTGCCAGATCAGGACCAATAATGTTGCTGATTCTTCTTTGGATTTTATCAAGGAGCTCAAAATAAATAGCAGAAGCAGCAGAACATATGTGGAAGTAATATTCTAAGGAGTAACGAATGGTAGACTTATCTTACATTGTTAAGATTGTGGCCGACAATAATGAATCTAATTTCTCAGAATCGCCTCGCTGTATAGGTTGGTGAAGTCCGGTTATATAGCTGACAATAAATCCACGATAGTTAAACAGGCAAGTTGTTACGTGAGTACACTCTGTATATAAGCTCATAGCAAGTCTCGTGTATTCTCATCAACTCACGTATTTAATTCTTTGGAACTGATGTCTGGGAGAACTATCTCTCCTGACAGCTAAGAGTCATCTTGAATCCCCTTCCAGCCTCTATTTTCTTACTTGTCAGGCTTCCTAAACTCCTACTGTACGCGTTTACAGGACCGCAGACAAATAACAAAGGCGTTTAATAATAAAACGCGGAACATTAAATCAAACAAGTTGAAGAAAAAACACCTCTCTTCTAGCCAGGCTTAAATAGATCAATATATTTAATTCATTTTTAGATAAAAATATTCATGCAATGTTATCAACTTTTGGCTACCGAAAGTAGGGTTGAAATATTTGGTGCTCGCTTGTGATTTCGTCGTAAACTACGCGAATCACGACAAACGCTATCTAAATTGCTGTTATTCTTTGTGTAAACTCCTTCAAGACATACCTATGATTATCGACATGTGTCTCTTCCCAATTAACTTATTTTTTCTTTCTTTTTATGTGCCAAGTCTTTTCAGGACGTAGGCGATCATGGCTCTCCACCTCCCCCTATCCCTTGCAGCTCTCAGCAAGCTCCTTCCCTTGGCTTCCTCCCCCCACCTCCAGACCACGGTCAGCCACCTGTTCAACCTCGTCAGGTAGATCACGCGCTGCTTTCCCTTGTCTCTCTTTCCCTTTATTTGAACCGTGAGTATCAGATTATCCAGGTCCTCTTTCCTCATTATGTGTACCAGAAATTTCAGTTGACTCTTTCTGATGTTAAGTATAAGCCTTCTTCATGTTTAGCTTAATCTAAATTATACAAATGACTTCAAGTAGACAATCTTAGCGCGACTTCGAACGCGCCAAGCGCAAATCGTTTCTCAAGATTTAGAAAACGGAGGAAAGTATTTATATTTATGCTGTAATGTATATCAAAATTATGAGGTTAATCTGAGAAGTCAACCTTCATGATTGTCAACACATTAATGTCCCCTGAAGAAAAAAATCTTACTCTGCAATCAGGGCGGAAATTGCATTGTAAAAATGTCAGGTGTGTTAAGAGACGCCATTTAAGAATAAAGACAATTTAAAAATAATAAGACGAAAGTGAATCAATTTTTTTCCAATCAAATAAAGGAGCAATTTGATCTGTGGTCTTTCTTCTGGCCGTAGGCATAATTTCAAAATTCACTTTTCTTTTTAATGAAAATATTTGATGCAATGGAAAAAAAATCTAAAAAAAAAAAGATTGTCTACAATTGTTTATTTAATTACAAAGTAGTTCTAAGATCAAGTGGTATTTCGTCGGGATTTTAATGTTTTAAAAAAACGAAAAGTTTAACGAGTAAAGTTTTTAAAAATTATATGGAAAATAAAATACTAGCTGGAATGATCTGTTATTGGTCAAATCCATTTTGATATTGATAATTACAATTTTTTCGAGCAACACAATCAATTGCTGACTTTTTTTAAAAGATGGCCATCATTAGCCGATGATTGAAGAGTGTTTCACATCGTCTCCAGCCTGCAGCTCAACAGGCATCTACCTGGATCTAGTCAAGATCCTAAATAAATAAAATTAAATAAAACAATGCTCGCAAAACAGTGCTACATCCGACGTGAAACGCATCTGTTTACCTTTAATTCTAGGTCATAAATAAAAGTCACTACGAGCGCGTTGTGTATTGGTTAACGATCTATTGTGAGACCATAACATACCTACAACATGGACTCTTCCAGGACTATATAAAGTATGCGACATAACACTCTAGAGAGAAGAAGAAGAGAGAGGGTATTCTAATACCGTAGTATCAGCCGCGTACGACTAACAATATTGAATACGAGCACATAGTAAGCTCCGCTTACACTTCCACTATCTTTGTAACCTTTTTGTTTAATATATCTTTCTTACCTCTAATCCATGTTCCGTGTTTTCCTTCCGTGGTCCCAACTTTGGGTCCACATCACGATCACAATAAACGCTTTTATTGAACGTAACTTTGCAATATCTAACTTGCAGTAGCATAAAAAATCTACACCGAAAAACAATATCCTGTCCTCTGGTAAAAGCTGCTTCTGGCAGTACCGCCTTAGCCAGCGAAACTGTGTTATCTTTTCCTGGTTGGCGGCTAACGAGAGCAGCGTATCGCACGTGCTTCCACACGTTCTATGTAGAAAATTGAGAAACACACAAGTAAAAAGTAATGATTTGCTGAATTTGAGCGATGATGAATTATATCTGAAATGTTTTCCAGATTGTTAGAATCACGGTGTTTCGACCATTTCAGAGAGAAGGAATTACAATTATTATTCGCTCATTTCAAAGAGAAATAATCATCATTATTATGAAATCATTTATTCATTTAACTTTACAAGTATCCTGCGAGAGGGGATCTCTAGCTGAGTTTTGAATAAAGTAAAGAAGAACATCCATAATGGAAAACCATTGGCTAAAACTACGCGAGAGTTGAGAAAGGCTTATTAGGGTCAAAGATATTTTTTTAGATTACTTGAATTATTCGTTGGATCCTAAAAAGGAAACTTTTGATGTACTACAATATTCAATAATATGAAAATATAATGGAATAAAATATCATCTATACGAAATCTGTTTGAAAATTAACAAAACTGATTACATTCTTCCAGTTAAGCGCCACAATTGTCACAACGCCAAACGCTGTATCAGCAAGTCTACAAAGAGATCTTTTGGCATGTCCGTTTCGCTATGTGCGCGAGATGAGACGAGGGTTGTGGCAAGAGAAATCGTGTCCACTTCGCCATGACAATGCAACTGCTCACAACGTCCTGAGAATCCGACAGTTCCTGTTCGAGAAGAACATCGATGTACTTGAATACCCTCCCTATTTGCCCTATCTTGATTCGTGTAACCTTTTTCTTTTCCCTAATTCCAAAGGGGGCCTCAAGGAGACCAGTTTTGAAGGCGTTGAGTTCGTCAAGAGAGACGTAGACAGAGCCGAGGTAAATCAAAGAAAGATTCTTCCAGCAGTGCCACAAAAAATTACATGGAAGAATGAAAAAATGCATTAGACTCGTGGATGATTACTTGGAAGGGGAAACCATGTAGTTTGTTCATTGGAATTGAAATAAATTGCTTGTGTCACCAGTTCCGTTTACTTTTCAATCAGACCCCGTAGAAGTGTATATAAAATAGATTTGGGGATAAATATCTGCAAAAGCAAAGTATATTTAATACATCCTACTAATGTTACTACTAATTCTTTATTATTATTATTATTATTATTATTATTATTATTATTATTAAATAAAACTCTTACAATAGGGAAGCCCACGATTGAAGAAAAGAAATAGAAAAAGAAACGACACACTGTTTGGAAATGTTCAATAATATTTTCACAGTATGTCTGTCAAATTCAAGTTATATTTAAAATATTCTATACAAATATAAAAATATGAAAAAAAAAACATCGATAAACGTCGCTTGTCTTGAGTAAACGGCCGTAATGGCAATCAACCAGTCAAAACGAATGAAAAGTCGCCAGCGTGAAATCATGCAACTGAAAGTTGCGTAATATGGTATTTTCTGTTAGTTAATTATTTACTGAAAAGAATTTGTCAAAATCTTATGGAACTCTCCTGTTATTCTCTTTAGTCCTCCGAGGAGGGACTTAGTAATTTGCATATGTATTCCTCCGAGGAGGGACTTAGTAATTTGTATACGTATTCCTCCGAGGAGGGATTTAGTAATTTGCATACGTATTCTTCCGAGGAGGGACTTAATAATTTGCATACGTATTCTTCCGAGGAGGGACATAGTAATTTGCATACGTATTCCTCCGAGGAGGGATTAGTAATTTGCATACGTATTCCTCCGAGGAGGGACTTAGTAATTTGCATAAGTATTCTTCCGAGGAGGGACTTAGTAATTTGCATACGTATTCTTCCGAGGAGGGACTTAGTAATTTGCATACGCATTCTTCCGAGGAGGGTATTTGTAATTTGCATAAGTATTCTACCGAAGAGGGACATAGTAATTTGCATACGTATTCCTCCGGGGAGGGATTTAGTAATTTGCATACGTATTCCTCCGAGGAGGGATTTAGTAATTTTCAAACGTATTCTTCCGAGGAGGGACTTAGTAATTTGCATACGTATTCTTCCGTGGAGGGACTTAGTAATTTGCATACGTATTCCTTTGAGGAGGGATTAGAAATTTGCATAAGTATTCTTCCGAGGAGGGACTTAGTAATTTACATACGTATTCTTCCGAAGAGGGATATAGTAATTTGCATTTCCGAGGAGGGACTTATAATTTGACGTATTCTTCCGAAGAGGGACTTAGTAATTTGCATACGTATTCCGAGGAGGAGGGACTTAGTATTCTTGAAGAGGGACGTAATTTTACGTATTCCGAGGAGGGAGTTAATAATTTGCATACGTATTCTTCCGAGGAGGGACTTAATAATTTGCACACGTATTCTTCCGAGGAGGGACTTATAATTTGCATACGTATTCTTCCGAGAAGGGACTTAGTAATTTGCATACGTATTTCGAGGAGGAGGGACTTAGTAATTTACATAAGTATTCCTCCGAGGAGGGACATAGTAATTTGCATACGTATTCCTCTGATGAGGGAATTATAATTTGCATACGTATTCCTCCGAGGAGGGACTTAGTAATTTGCATACGTATTCCGAGTAGGAGGGACTTAGTAATTTGCATACGTATTCTTCCGAAGAGGGACTTAGTAATTTGCATACGTATTCCTCCGAGGAGGGACTTATTAATTTTCATACGTATTCCTCCGAGGAGGGATTTAGTAATTTGCATATGTATTCCTCCGAGGAGGGACTTAGTAATTTGCATACGTATTTTTCCTTGGAGGGACTTAGTAATTTGCATACGTATTCTTCCTAGGATGGATTTAGAATAATTTGAATACGTATTCCTCCGAGGAGGGACTTAGAATTTAATTTGGAGGGACGTATTCTTACGAGGAGGGGGATTCTTAGGGGAATTTGTATTCCTCCGAGGAGGGACGTATTCCTCCGAGGAGGGACTTAGTAATTTGCATACGTATTCCGAGGAGGAGGGACTTAGTATTCTTCCGAAGAGGGAATTTACATACGTATTCTTCGTGGAGGGAGGGATATTCTTAGTAATTTGCATACGTATTCTTCCGAGGAGGGACTTATAATTTGCATACGTATTCCTCCGAGGAGGGACTTAGTAATTTGCATACGTATTCCGAGAGGAGGAGGGATTTAGTATTCTTCCGAAAGAGGGATATAGTAATTTGCATACGTATTCTTCCGAAGAGGGGACTTAGTAATTTGCATACGTATTCCTACGTGGAGGGACTTAATAATTTGCATACGTATTCTTCGAGGAGGTACGAGGACGGGAGGTTAGTAATTTGCATACGTATTTCGAGGAGGAGGGACTTAGTAATTTACATAAGTATTCCTCGAGGAGGGACATAGTAATTTGTATACGTATTCCTCTGATGAGGGAATTATAATTTGCATACGTATTCCTCAAGGAGGGACTTAGTAATTTGCATACGTATTCCGAGTAGGAGGGACTTAGTAATTTGCATAAGTATTCTTCCGAAGAGGGACTTAGTAATTTGCATACGTATTCCTCTGAGGAGGGACTTCGTAATTTGCATACGTATTCTTCCGAAGAGGGACTTAGTAATTTGCATACGTATTCCTCCGAGGAGGGACTTATTAATTTTCATACGTATTCCTCCGAGGAGGGATTTAGTAATTTGCATATGTATTCCTCCGAGGAGGGACTTAGTAATTTGCATACGTATTTTTCCTTGGAGGGACTTAGTAATTTGCATATGTATTCTTCCGAGGATGGATTTAGTAATTTGAATACGTATTCCTCCGAGGAGGGATTTAGTAATTTGCATATGTATTCCTCCGAGGAGGGACTTAGTAATTTGCATACGTATTCCGAGGAGGAGGGATTTAGTAATTTGTATAAGTATTCTTCCGAAGAGGGATTTAGTAATTTGCATACGTATTCCTCTGAGGAGGATTTAATAATTTGCATACGTATTCTTCGAAGAGGGACTTAGTAATTTGCATACGTATTCCTCCGAGGAGGGACTTATTAATTTTCATACGTATTCCCCCGAGGAGGGATTTAGTAATTTGCATATGTATTCCTCCGAGGAGGGACTTAGTAATTTGCATACGTATTTTTCCTTGTAGGGACTTAGTAATTTGCATACGTATTCTTCCGAGGATGGATTTAGTAACTTGAATACGTATTCCTCCGAGGAGGGACTTAGTAATTTGCATACGTATTCTTACGAGGAGGGACTTAGGAATTTGCATACGTATTCTTCCGAGGAGGGACTTATTAATTTGCATACGTATTCCGAGAAGGAAGGACTTAGTAATTTGCATACGTATTCTTCCGAGGAGGGAATTAGTAATTTGCATACGTATTCCTACGAGGAGGGACTTATAATTTGCATACGTATTCCTCCGAGGAGGGACTTAGTAATTTGCATACGTATTCCGAGGAGGAGGGATTTAGTAATTTGTATAAGTATTCTTCCGAAGAGGGATTTAGTAATTTGCATACGTATTACTCCGAGGAGGAACTTAGTAATTTGCATACGTATTATTCCGAGGAGGGACTTAATAATTTGAATACGTATTCTTCCGAGGACGGACTTATAATTTGCATACGTATTCTTCCGAGGAGGTAATTAGTAATTTGCATACGTATTCTTACGAGGAGGGACTTAGGAATTTGCATACGTATTCTTCCGAGGAGGGACTTAGTAATTTTCATACGTATTCTTCCGAGGAGGGACTTATTAATTTGCATACCTATTCCGAGAAGGAGGGACTTAGTAATTTGCATACGTATTCTTCCGAGGAGGGACTTAGAAATTTGCACACGTATTCTTCCGAGGAGGGAATTAGTAATTTGCATACGTATTCCTCCGAGGAGGGACTTAGTAATTTACATACGTATTCTTCCGAAGAGGGACATAGTAATTTGCATACGTATTCTTCCGAGGAGGGACATAATAATTTGCATACGTATTCTTCCGAGGAGGTACTTAGTAATTTGCATACGTATTCTTCCGAGAAGGGACTTAGTAATTTGCATACGTATTTCGAGGAGGAGGGACTTAGTAATTTACATAAGTATTCCTCCGAGGAGGGACATAGTAATTTGCATACGTATTCCTCTGATGAAGGAATTATAATTTGCATACGTATTCCTCCAAGGAGGGACTTAGTAATTTGCATACGTATTCCGAGTAGGAGGGACTTAGTAATTTGCATAAGTATTCTTCCGAAGAGGGACTTAGTAATTTGCATACGTATTCCTCTGAGGAGAGACTTCGTAATTTGCATACGTATTCTTCCGAAGAGGGACTTAGTAATTTGCATACGTATTCCTCCGAGGAGGGACTTATTAATTTTCATACGTATTCCTCCGAGGAGGGATTTAGTAATTTGCATATGTATTCCTCCGAGGAGGGACTTAGTAATTTGCATACGTATTTTTCCTTGGAGGGACTTAGTAATTTGCATATGTATTCTTCCGAGGATGGATTTAGTAATTTGAATACGTATTCCTCCGAGGAGGGATTTAGTAATTTGCATATGTATTCCTCCGAGGAGGGACTTAGTAATTTGCATACGTATTCCGAGGAGGAGGGATTTAGTAATTTGTATAAGTATTCTTCCGAAGAGGGATTTAGTAATTTGCATACGTATTCCTCTGAGGAGGGATTTAGTAATTTGCATACGTATTCTTCCGAAGAGGGACTTAGTAATTTGCATACGTATTCCTCCGAGGAGGGACTTATTAATTTTCATACGTATTCCCCCGAGGAGGGATTTAGTAATTTGCATATGTATTCCTCCGAGGAAGGACTTAGTAATTTGCATACGTATTTTTCCTTGTAGGGACTTAGTAATTTGCATACGTATTCTTCCGAGGATGGATTTAGTAATTTGAATACGTATTCCTCCGAGGAGGGACTTAGTAATTTGCATACGTATTCTTACGAGGAGGGACTTAGGAATTTGCATACGTATTCTTCCGAGGAGGGACTTATTAATTTGCATACGTATTCCGAGAAGGAAGGACTTAGTAATTTGCATACGTATTCTTCCGAGGAGGGGAATTAGTAATTTGCATACGTATTCCTACGAGGAGGGGACTTATAATTTGCATACGTATTCCTCCGAGGAGGGACTTAGTAATTTGCATACGTATTCCGAGGAGGAGGATTTAGTAATTTGTATAAGTATTCTTCCGAAGAGGGATTTAGTAATTTGCATACGTATTACTCCGAGGAGGAACTTAGTAATTTGCATACGTATTCTTCCGAGGACGGACTTATAATTTGCATACGTATTCTTCCGAGGAGGTAATTTTAGTATTTTGCATACGTATTCTTACGAGGGGACTTAGGAATTTGCATACGTATTCTTCGAGGAGGGACTTAGTAATTTTCATACGTATTCTTCCGAGGAGGGACTTATTAATTTGCATACCTATTCCGAGAAGGAGGGACTTAGTAATTTGCATACGTATTCTTCCGAGGAGGGACTTAGAAATTTGCACACGTATTCTTCCGAGGAGGGACTTAGTAATTTGCATACGTATTCCTCCGAGGAGGGACTTAGTAATTTACATACGTATTCTTCCGAAGAGGGACATAGTAATTTGCATACGTATTCTTCCGAGGAGGGACTTAATAATTTGCATACGTATTCTTCCGAGGAGGTACTTAGTAATTTGCATACGTATTCTTCCGAGAAGGGACTTAGTAATTTGCATACGTATTCCGAGGAGGAGGGACTTAGTAATTTACATACGTATTCCTCCGAGGAGGGACTTAGTAATTTGCACACGTATTCCTCCGAGGAGGGACTTAGTAATTTGCATACGTATTCTTCAGAAGAGGGACATAGTAATTTGCATACGTATTCTTCCGAAGAGGTAATTAGTAATTTGCATACGTATTCTTCCTAGGAGGGACTTAGTAATTTGCATACGTATTCTTCCGAGGAGGGACTTAGTAATTTGCATACTTATTCTTACAAGGAGGGACTTAGGAATTTGCATACGTATTCTTCCGAGGAGGGACTTATTAATTTGCATACGTATTCCGAGAAGGAGGGAATTAGTAA